CCATTGGAGCCTGGTAACTTTTCATTTAAAGGTATGTGTTCTGGGAAAAAAAAATATGAACAAGGCATTTCCTAAGTACAATAGCTAAAACAAAAAGGCCCCCCAAAACCCAAAAACAAACCACAAAAAACAGTAGTAGATGGGAATGTACTCATTTACCACAAGCGTAGCATCTCATCACAGACTCATCCCACGAGTGCCAAAACCAATGACATGAATGCTTCTTTCTAAAATCCCCCAGATTATTCAAACGTGACGGGGAAATAAACTTTTGTCCAGAAGATGAGGTTCTGTGGGCTCTTCCCCAAAAATGTTTTCTGACTAGTTATAAACGTGAGAAAGGCTACTTGATGTGTATGATTAAAAAAAAAACTCCCAAGTAGATGTATTTTTCTCCATTCCCACACTAACAAAGTTGCTGGAATTCAAATGCATTATCTGAATTTCGAATTTAGAGCATCCAACTATTGATTCCAAGTCATAGCTTTGTCTCCTAATGATGAAAGCACTTGTCCCTTCTTGCTCTGGGAGCTAGACAGGAAAATAATTTCATAGGCTTATTGACAAATTTTAAAAAGGACCGCAATGATTCCAAAAATTCAGATAGAAAACTCAGGCCCAGCGTGATATTTACTGCTGCCTTTTTCTAATATCTGTGTGCAGCTCTTTTGAGAACCACCACTAGGCCTCACTGCTCAAACAGCCAGGGCGTCTGTAGCGCTGGAGTCTGCGGCCCACCAGCACTGTGTCCTTTCTGTCTCACGGGCACTCCAAGCCCGAGGCACTGATGTCCGGCTCTCAACAGCCTGCACAGCCCTGGGACACAGAGAAAAAGGCTCACCGGCTACCCTCACTAAGCTTGTCTTCTGTCAGATTCTGAACCGTCTACGACGAAGGCCCCCATCTCATTCTCCCACTTCTACTGGAAGGGGAACCAGAAGGAGACTCCTCGTTCTTGGTCTCCTGCACAATAACGGAGTAGGTAATCTTCTGACCTTGCTCTGCACTGGTAAAAAGAAAACTGATAAAAAGAAATAAAAGTGAAAAATTCCTAGCGCTGGGGAGAACAGCAGGCTGATTTCAAGTCTTATCACACAGGCATATAAAATTAGAGCATCTGGAAAAAAAATACAACCCCCTTGGAACATCTTCACTTTCCACTTCATCTACATTACAGAATTCCACTCTCCGCCTCTCCTCCACCTACACCGAGGAAATACGTACGATCATGTTGCTGGGAAGGAGAAATGTAAGATCACTCGTTACAGGCTAAAAAATGCAGTCACCGCCAGCCCTCTGTCGTCTGCTCTCACAAAGGAGGTCCTCACTGTGACATAGGCTTCTTGTCCACTTTCACCTGGGAAACTTTTCACCTCACACACTTGTCCAACCCAAAGAACCACCACTGACTGGGGCTTACTGAAAATTCAGATTCTGTTGCCCCTTCCAAACTTGATCCAAATTTTCAGGAGGAAGGACCCAGGACTCTGTTTCTTTAGTACGTTGCAGGTAATTTTTATGAGGTAAGTTTGAAGAACACTGACCTTGGGACTATGCCCATCTTTAAAAAAATTCCATTCCGAGTTTTTCCTTTATGAGTCCCTAAAGAAGTAGCGTATTGATTAAAAGTGCTCTGAGCCGCACACATAAGGATAAAAGCCAGCCCACTGCAGGCTAGCCTTTTGGAGCTGCTAAATAAGGTATGACAGTAAACTAGCAACTGCTAAGTGTTAAATCTCAGGCTGAGGGTTGGTGGGTCTAAGCCACTATCTTAAGCATGTGAGGTTCCTCTAAATTTCAATGATTTGAGGCATTATCCTGGTCTCCGGGTAGAGGCTGCACAAAGGGACGGTGTAGCCTAGCATGTGCTAATCCAAGAGCTAGACAGGCCAAAATGGTTATGTCTTAAAGTCAAAAGACAATGCAAAATCAGGAGAAAACTTCCAGAGAATGGCATAAAAAGAAACCAAAGGGGATCTGGATGTGTGTGTTTCGTTCACCATGCCAGAGCCCGTGTGGAGCGCAGAACGTGACACATTTAATACATGGAAGGCATTTAATACACGGTTGATGAGGGGAAGACTGAGGGTCAACGAATGAACGGGTATGTGTCAGTGATACAAATAAAAATGACATCACATGACTCAGTAGCATCTATAGGAAAGAGAAAAGTTATTTTTTAAAAATTTCGATCAATTACCTGGTAGAAAACCTTTACCGGCCTTTTGACCTAAGTAAATGACACTGAATTTATTTTCAAAACAGGAGAGGCCCACAGAAGCACAAAGGTAAAGAGAGGAAGAAAGAGAAGGGAACGAAAGCTGCGAAGGGGTTGCTTCGGGAATACCAAGATCTGAGAGCAGTAGCCCCCGGGCACGGCAGCACCCAGCACCCGGACAAGGCTCCTCCCTGGGGCAGGCCGGGCGCCGGAAACCACGGACAGCACACGAGTGACAGATTCACCAGAACCACGACAGGACAAGGAGGGCGAGGAGAACTCAGGTAGGGGGGAGGCAGAGAGGCAGGGAGACAGAATGAAGAAGAGTGGAGGGAGCGTGCAATGCGTCATGCAGGGACCTCGGTGGGGGCGAGTGGGCACCAGGCAACACTCAGTGAGCACATAGGACGGGTGAAGGCGAGACACACCCCAGTCACAGAAACAAACCGCTTACCCTCCGCTTTAGTGGAAGTACCGTCTTTAAGCAAATTAAAAAACAAGGGAGGGGATAACAGGGAACAGTTAGTAACATTAAAAAAAAAAAAATTAAAAAGCAGAATGTTATTAGCTACTAAAAAAGCAGAAGTACAATTTAAAATAAAATCAAAAAAGAAACAAGTTCAACAGCAAAGCAGATTCTGAAGCAAGTACGTGTGCCTCCGATTAAAATCGGCTGAGTAGAATGTTGCTTTTGCTTTTGGAAAACAAGCTAAAAAATGTCAACCCAGGGTAGCGCCTCAGTTGATACACTGTTGGGCTTTTGTTTTAGCCAACCCTCATCCTCTCAGACTTTCTTTTTCTTAGAACCAAGTACCAGCAGAATAAGGGGGGGAAACCAAAAGCTAAAGTACTGAAGAGTCCCCCAAAGAACAGAGGCAGAGAGGAAGCTGAGAGAAGCTAGCTCTAGCAATGACGCCTACCCAACTACACGGTGAGCGGCAGAAGCTGTACAGCAGGGTACCTGAGTCATGGCCTACGGACTCCATATCTTCCCTCATGTGTCTGGACTCTAGAAGTTCGGAAAAGGATCGTCAGCTTTAATGCTACACTTCCGGCACGGATATAATGTGCCGACCTAAGTAGTCATCATTAACAATTTCTCAGTAGGATTATGCTCAACTTCCCAGGTTTTTTGTCGTGTTGTGGTTTTGGACACGAAACAAGTGGAGGCAGGGTTCTCGGAAATGCTGAGAGAGTGGGAACATTCCGGTCCTGTTACCTGAAGAGCTAATGCTAGGCTGAAAATGTATCCTCAGTTGCTTGTAAAAGGTCCATTTGTATCGTCAGACCAAAAGACCTGGGTGCTTTTGCTAGCACTGAGGGAAGTCTACATGGTCCATATTAAAATACCCAAGGTATGCACAGAAAAAACAAAGACTACAGAGTCCTCTAAAAGACAGTTTTTACTCAAGTTCTCAAGCAGCGAAACAAATTGTAACTACAGATACTCAAGGTGGATCAAATGTATTGAAACACGGGTACATATTTAAAAACGGAACTCAAATGAACAGAGCTACCCCACCCTGGGAGAGAGCTGTTCTGACGTCCCCCTTACTGGATGACTACGTACCAACCTAATGTCATAAACACTCCAATGTAATGTTACAGTAGTGAAGGGATGGGAAGGGAGAGCACTTACTGGGCTTCTTTCCAATCAAAAGTACCCGTGTTTGAGGGGTTTGCCGAGAGAAAACAAGACCGACTTAACAAACATTCCAGAACACACTCCTTTCACGTTCTCACGTGCTTACTTAGCACAATCCGTTTTTTTCACCTTACGGGGTAATCGCTTACAAAGGACTTTTATTAAATTATTTAATTTATCCCTCTCGTGTGTCTGAGCTGGGTGACGATCTCCACAACTAATTAGGTAGAGAAACCAGATGCAGAGACTGCATGGCCTGTTCAAGGTTAGCAAGCTAATAAACGGCAGCCCAGTAATCTCCCCTTGGCGCTCTAGCCTGTGACTCCGTGCTCGGAACACCTTGAGAACGTCAGTTTTGGAACAGACTTTGGAATCGGTTTGTGAACCAATTCAGTCTCAATGTTTCATGAAATTTTAATTGTACGTGTTCAGTCTCCACCAGAGTCCCCAGGTTCTGGCTTGAATGACTTTGCTCTAACAAAAATAAGATGAAGTCAACTATCAGCCCTACACACAGGTGTTCATTTGCTGAAAAAACTGAGAAACTGACCTACCATTCTGCCAGATATAAATTTAATGTTTCAAAAAGTCCTTTGGGCTATTGTTAAGAGTAGGTACAGTCTCCTCCTGGCACTCTTCTGAGGAATATGGTTATGCTGGCCAGTAAGTCCACCACATTTCTCTAGAGATGCCCCTCGCTCTCGCCCCCCAATCCTGCACCTCGGCCACTCCGGTCAGATTCCCGAACTGGGAAATACCGAATCACAGTGACTGTCTTCAGCGAATCCCTCAGGAAACCGTTCTGGCTCTGCCCCACCCACGTCATGAGGCAATGTGGGAGGTGACAAGGCGCTGGCTGGGCTGCCACGAAGGGGAAAGTGAAGCTGAGGGGTGGCTCTGCGTGACGCACCACGTGAGCACCTAGCTACTTACTCGTCCAGAGAAAGGGAACACTCAACAAAGGGTGGCTGGTAACCAGCAGGAAATGCACAGAGCTACTTATACTTAAAAATCAGGCCTGCAACAGTGAGAATTTCCTCAATGACGGTGTTTTGTAATTTGCTAAGCAAATCTGAGCAGGGCTAAATGTCATCTCAAACAGCAAAACCGGGGGAAAGGTGGTGGGGGTCTGGTTACCTAAGGATGCGTAGGACCCCGGAGGCAAGGCCGCTGCAGAGCTGAAAGGCGTAGCACCCGAGGCCGATGAGACCTTGGACTTGGCACTGGCTGCTGCGTTCACGTCAATATCGCTTCGAGACCGCTGGAGGGACCCGGTCGTTGACACGGATTTGGTGCTGACCGTAGAAGCTTGAGTGGGGAAGGAGGAAACATCAGTAAGGACCACACGAGAACCGTAAACATACATCGTCACAACTTGTTTGGCTTTTCCTATCAAATTTTAAGGAAGGCTGGAGTGCGTGCACACTGACCACAGTTTCTCCTGGTCACCGAAGACAGAATTCAGCCACCGCTGAAGAACCACAAGCACACACACCCATTACACTTATTTTCTTGTGATCGACTATAAACCCCAAAGAAATGGACCCTATCTCTGGGTAATGTGAGAAGTGAGACCATGAAGAAGCGCCCACACGTGGACAGTTCCTGCACGCTGTGGCCTAGGCGTGCACTCTCAGACACCCTCCTGCTCCCGGGGAACATTCCACTCTCCCACCTCGAACAGCCGCTATCCCGCTGCTGTTGCTCAAAGCTTCACACACTGTCCCTAGTCTCCTGTCAAGTGACCAGAGCAAAGCAGCAGCACTATTTGGGGAGGGATCCACATGCTGGAGGGAGGTGGGAGAGGAAAGGTCACAGGGCTCCACTTCCACCTGCCCAAGGCATCCTCAGCGTGGGTTCCTCACAGCCCTCAGCCCCTGGGACAGCGGGGCTCTACTCAGTCCAGCAGGAGCGCTGCGAGAGTGCCCTCTGCAAACCTGAGGGGCACCTGCAAGCAGGTCACCGGCTTCCAGCAACCAAGCAGCCTCTGGGAGCCGCACAGAAACAGGCCTCCCCAAGACCACCTTCTCCGCGGCCGTCAGTCTTACCTCTAGAGGTGGTGCTCCCGGTAGGACTTCTTTTGGCAGAGAGTGGCCGACTGAAAAGTATACACACATTTATTATTATCCAATGAGCACTCCATCTGCGTTCACACAAGTACAGTCTACAACAGGAGACTAGGAGGATGAAGGAATCATTGTAGACTTTTCAGGATTTCTCAGGTAACTGGGACCACAATCTTATCAATCCTCAATTTTGAACAAAGCTTTAGCATTATAGACTAGACTATCTTCCAGACATACAGAGAGAAGTCGTGGCTAGAGACAGAAGTTAGAAACACAGCGCGAGGATGGTAATACATTCACTCCCAGGTGCCGAACGCCCTCCCTTTCCAGACTTGTCTCCAAGTTAACATTCACATTCTCTTAGAAGACCCTTTCAAGAATTCACTTATTCGACTCCAAAACCGTATTCTGGGACTGCCATATAAATTTCACTAAACACGGCTATGGCAGAGACCGAGGCGCCCTACTCCTTACCATTCCCCTGGTATCTTACGTAGCAGAACCTGTCTGAAGTAAGGGGAGATGAGCACAGGCATGTATATGTAAAAACACAGCTGGCATTTGTGTTCTCATGTAGCAAACCTTTAAACCTAAAAGCTCACACTAACCAGAAGCATGGCTGAAGTGCTTACTTTAGACTCTCTTGAGAGCTTGAGGACGAGCGGTCGGACTGCGGCAGAGACACGATGCTGTCCGAGTTCTTCAGGTGGGACTGCAGGGCTTTCTGGTAGGAGGACTCCAAGGTGTGGTACAAATGCTCTGCTTCTCTGCTGAAGTGACTGTGGAAACCCCAGTAGCACCTAGGGAAGACACGCAGCGTGCCGCACGGTCAGGATCACGTGGGGCTTGCGCCCAGCTCTGCAGCCCACCATGTGACGCGGTCAAGGACTAGAATCCTCGGGGCGCTGCTACCAGGAGCGACACAGGACCAGGAAGGGAGAGTGAACAAAGGGGGCCGGGTATGGATCCTGCCCGCACAACTTACTGGCTCTTCTGACACTGGACAAGTTACCTGACTTCTCTGAATCGAGTCTCATTTACAAAACGCAAACTAAAGGGCTGAACCTTAGAGAAGATGGAGCTTAAACACCCAGAACTAGACCCAGAACATGGAGGGCACTCATCAGTGGCAGCTTTTCCACACGCTGCTCGACACTCATCGACTGGAGGTGTTTACAGTTGCCTTAGATGATGTACAACAGAGAGGCGCAGAGATGCCCGCAGCTACTTGAAATCTGTATTGCAGTGTGACTAAAGAAGCAGAAAAAACCAGGGAGGGAATATACATGCCAGGATAAAAGCCACTGAAGCGGGTGACTAACGAATCCATTCCTAATAGTTGTGAGCAACTATTAACGAGGGCCCTTATTTTGGCAAGAACTACCCAAGCTGAGATTATGGTAAGCGCTTCAGTGATTCAAGGAGGTCCTCCGAAGACCTCAGAAACCAGGAGGATGGAACGTGACTGAGGGAGCAGTCACGGAGCAACACAGACTTGAGGAGGATGTACGAGTGCAGCTAAATAGAACAGTAACGTTCCAGGTGAGGAATAACAGACTGCCTGTGTCAAGGAGAAGAGCCGGGCACTGTGAAGGCACAGAGAAAATGCCACGGGTGCAAAATTCACAGCACTCACCTACACACTGCCTGAGACAGAGGAAGTCTCAGCATCTGACCCGTGGGTCACAAGGACACGATTCTGCCCAGGGGAGCACAGAATGCACGGCCACAGCCACAGGACGGGAGCGTTACCAGCCCTAATGGCAAAACTGCCTCGATCGTGGGATGGTGAGTGTGCGTCCCCACTGCGTCCCATCACCCGCCTGCCCCTCACCACGCTCACACTTCCAGAGCAGCCACCTGACACCTGCAAAGATGCCCTCTCAGGTGAAGGGTCCCAGGGCCCATAATTTTTCAAGGGAAATCAAAAGGTCCCTGGGGATTATGACCTGGCTTTTAACAGAGCCTAATGAGTAAGTCTGAGCATGCAAACAAGTGCTTTGCAGATTCATGTAATAATTTCTCATAAATTTAAAAAGGAGCATTTTATTGTGTGCCTCAGTCCTGTTTATACTCAAATAATATCACTCAGTCTCTTAGGTCTGGGCACCAAGCAACCTTCTAAGCAGAAAAATAGAGAAATATTGTGAAAAGGCTTTTGGGGTCATATTTAACAGTCATGAATAACAAAACATTATTCATGTAACTTAACAAATGTTTTTTTAAGTTTTTATTTATTTATTTTGAGAGGGAGAGCACTAGCAGAGGAGAGACAGAGAGAGAAGAAGGAAGAGGATCCTAAGTAGGCTCCGGGATGTCAGTGCAGAGTCTGACGTGGGGCTCGATTTCACAAACTGTGAGATTATGACCTGAGCCAAAATTAAGATTCAGACTCTTAAACAACTGAGCAACACAGGCGCCCCATTTAACGAATTTTTAACAAGGGAATCTAGGGGCTCCTGGGTGACTTTGGTTCAGGTCATGATCCCAAAGTTCACAGGTTGGAGCCCCACGTCAGGCTCGGTGCCGACAGCTCAGAGCCTGGAGCCTGCTTCGGATTCTGTGTCTCCCTCTCTCTCTGCACCACACCACCCCTCAGCTTGTGCTGTGTCTGTCTCTCTCTCAAAAATACATAAAAATTTTTAAAAAAATAAGGCAATCTAAACAACACATCTGAAACATAAAAATAGTGAATTAAAAACAAATGGTATACAACAAACACTTACTTTCTGGCTTCTATCCTTGCTTCGGAATCGGCATCATGTATTCCCTTCTTTATTGTTTCGGCTAATACTGATATGTGTCTAGAAATTTAGGAGAGAAAGCAGTGATCATCATTAACATGTGGTTTTATGCAGATGAAGTCAGGTGTGAAAATTACAAAATGGCATCGTGGCTTTGTGCCCAGTTAGCCAACTATCACGCAGAGTAGAAAATCCAAGCACTCCCTTCTCGGCAGCTCTAACCTCTACCTCTGTCCCGGTCCCCCCACCTCCACCCTCCACCAGCTGCCCCTATCTACCTACCCTGTGGGCGAGTTTGTTAAACGATGGCTGACTTTTTTCACACCACACTTATTTAGCTCCATCTTTTATGAACCCAACCAGTAAGACTCTACTTTTCCACGGTCAGAACTAGTTTCTACAGAAATCATGAGGTAATAATAACCTTAATATGAGGAGGCTACCCACATCACATTTCTATAAACACAATGTTTTCTTCAAGTTCCACTGTGTAAAATGAAATAATTTTATAAAATCATGCAACAATGTTATAAATAGTTATTTTCTTTAGTTACATTCTGCCCTAGCAGAGAAGAAATTAGTAAAGTATCTCTTTGAATGTCTAACAGCTTTTTAAGAAAAGAAAAAAAGTCTGGAATGAATTAGTCTCCTAGAACAAAGAGTAGTTACCAATCTGCCTTATGCCTCGTTCATTCAGTAAGTATTTGGCGAGTGTCTGCTAAGTGGTGGGTACTAAGCAAGGAGGGGAATGAATACACAAGGCCAGATCGGAGTTCTTCACACGTGACTGTTCTACTCACAGGTCCTCACATCAGATTCCTCATTCCGATTTCCACCTCTCAATTCTAGAACTATCACTGCCTATCAAGAGATTTAAGAACAAGAAAGTACTGAAACAATGTGTGACTATCCTCTAGATTCAAGAACTTTGCAGATGAAATTTTACCTCTGGGAGGGATGGCTTTGTTTCCTCTCTGACCCCTGCAGTACAGAATGGGGCTCCCGTAAGTACTCACTTCATTAAAATTCCACTAGTAAAATGATTAGTATGCTGTAAGCTTCTTGACAAACTAAGTAACATGAAAACATGGGTGGCAAAACATCATCATCTATTCTCTCCAAGTGTAACGCAGAAAGAGTAACAGGCACCTGAAATTCAAAGGAACTAAAAATGGGAAAGAATGAATCTTAAAATTAAGAGACCTGCTTCTTAAGAATTCTGCCATAATCCTACCTTTTATCTTCATGATGTGAAACTTACCACACATCAACCTGAATAAAGAGAAAACTGCTAAGTGTCTGATACAGGGGGATCAAAAAGAAAACCTTCAGATGAGTGGAACTCCTTTAAGGACCTAAGAGTTACACCTGGCCTACAAAGAGCAGCTTGGAACATTTACTTGGTTGGAACTGACACGAATGTCAGGCAGCTGGCTGAGAGCCAATAAGGAGTTAATTGTGGCTGACTTCTCGGGAAGATGGCAGAGTAGAGGACCCCAAGATCACCTCCTCCCACAGATGTAACTAGGTAACACCCACATCTGTGGAAATAACACAGAAAACCACCTGTAGATTGGCAGACAGACTCTCCACAGCTACGTGTAGAGAGGAGGCCACCCTGAAGAGGGCAGGAAGGGCACAGATGTGGTAGGAGCTAAACCAGCTCACCGGCTTTCCCCAAAAGGGAGAGACACTCAAGACACGCGCAAGGGAGAGGACCAAACCCTGACACCAAGCACCCCAGGCACAAGAACCCACATGAAAACCAGAGGAGCACAATTTCTTGAGTTCTTACAATCATGGGGCTTACCACCTGAAACTTTAAACATCAGCAGGAGGTAAACAGGACACTGAGGCACCACCCTTAAAGAGTACAGCAGCCCCTCAGAGATACAGCACAGAAGCAACACTTTGAAAAATGCCTGGGGTATACAAGAGGGACGTTTCTTTACTAATCTCTAAGCATGTGCTGGGGGGCAGGAATCCTTAGGCACAAAGGAGCTAGTGGGTCCCCTGCCTAGACACACCAACACTTGGGGGAACCAGCTCAGCGCCAACACGTTCCACCCAGCTTGCTCACAGCATGTCTGCCTTCTCCTGTGGACACACCCTGTCCAGCCAAGCCTTTGGTTCCAGGTCTCTCTCCACAGCAAACCTATGCAAAACTTGTACCATAAGTCAGGCAGGAGGAAAGCAGCCCCGACAGGGATCAGCACCTCTGCAACGTGACTCCTGTCCTGGGGAAGGAGGGGAAGAAGGAAGATAAGCACACACCCAGCCAGACTGCGGCCCCAGCAGTGGGCTGGAGTCAGCTGGTCTAATGAACCTGCTAATGAAAGCTTCTCATGGGAGAACACAAGGAAAGTGCCCGGCAGCTCGGTACCACCACCTCTCTGGCAAATGCCCAGTCCGACGTGACTCAAGCCCAGGTGGCCCTGGACCGGCCCATTAACAACACGGCAATCAAATGCTGCCCACAACAGGCAGAGAGCCAATGCAGACGACTGGACTGAAAGGAAAAGCGGCTCAGCCCCAAGAGCAGGGCACACACAACACACATGGAGACACCCTTGAAGTGCCAGGTTCTGGTGAACTGGGCACACGGCACTGCAGGGCACTACGGGACCTCTTCCTCATAAGGCCACTACCTTCAAAAGCAGAAGATGCAGCTGACTTCCCTAACACAAAGAAACAGACACAGAGTTGGACAAAATGAGGAGAGAAAGGACTATGTCCCCAGTGTAAGAATAAGACAAAATCACAGCAAGAGACGTAAGCACAATGGAGGTAAGTAATCTGCCTAATAGAGAATTTAAAGTAATGGTCATAAAGATACTCACTGGACTTGAGAAAAGAGTGGAGGAAGTCAGTGAGACCGTTAACAAAGAGAGAGAAAACATTAATAAAGAACCCATCAGAGATGAAGAGCTCAAAAAACTGAATTAAAAAATACACCACAGGGAATAAATAGTAGAATAGACGGAGCAGAAGAATGAATCAGCAACTGGGGACAGAATAATGGGAAGCAATCAAGCTGAAAAGGAGAGAGAAAAAAAATGAGAAGACTTAGGGCACCATCAAGCATAGTAACATCTGCATTATAGGGAATCCCAGAGGAGAAAAGAGAGAAAAGGGGTTAGAAAATTTATTTGAAGAAATAATAGCTGAAAATTGCCCAAATCTGGGGAAGAAAACAGAAATCTAGATACAGGAGATATCAAGAGCCCCCAATAAAACAACATAAGGGGGTTCACATCAAGACACAGTAATTAAAAAGTCAAAAAGAAGTGATAAAGAGTGTATTTTAGAAGTAGCAAGATAAAAGAAAACAGTTACATACAAGGGAGACTCCTTAAGGCTATCTGTTGATTTTTCAGCAGAAACTTGGCAAGCCAAAAGGGCGTGGCATGATATATTCAAAGTGCTGACAGAAAAAATTCTTCGGCCAAGAATACTCTCTCTCTTCTTTTCTCTTAATGATAGCCTTGCTGTGTAAAGAGTTTCCCAGACAAACAAAAGTTAAAGAAATGCATAACCCCTAAACCAGTGAACTCTTTGAATGGAAAGACCATAAGCAGGAGCAAGAAAAGTAGGAAGCACAAAAGCAGTAAAATTAATTGCATCTATAAAAATCCATCAAACGATTCACAAAATTAAAGGATATAACGTATAACACCACATACCTAAAGCGTGGAGAGAGAGGAGTAGAGACTTAAAAACTTAAGCAATCAGCAACTCTAGACTGCTATATGCATAAAATGTTATCTACAAACCTAATGGTAACCACAAATCAAAAACTAGTAATACATACACAAACAATAAAGATAAAGGAAGCCAAGTGTATTACTAAAGAAAAGCAGCAAACTGTGAGAAGAGAGCAACAAAAAAAAGGAACAGAGAATCAGTACATAAACAACACTAAAATAAGTAACAAAATGGCAATAAATACATACCTATCAATAATTACTTTGAATGCAAATGGACTAACCGCTCTAATCAAAAGACACAGGGTGACAGAACAGATAAAAAAGCAAGACCCATCTATACGCTGCCTACAAGAGACTCATTTCAGATCTAAAGACACATATACGCAGAAAAGTGAAGGGATGGAAAAGTATCTATCCCACAAATGGAAGTGAAAAGAAAGCTGGAATAGCAATATTTATAATGGACAAAATAGATTTTAAAACAGCATATATCACAAAGGGATCAATCCAACAAAAAGATATAACAATTACAAATATTTATGCACCAAACATGGGTATCAACAAAATACCCAATACAGGGGCGCCTGGGTGGCTCAGTCGGTTGGGCGGCCGACTTCGGCTCAGGTCATGATCTCACGGTCAGTGAGTTCAAGCCCCGCGTCGGGCTCTGTGCTGACGGCTCGGAGCCTGGAGCCTGTTTCAGATTCTGTGTCTCCCTCTCTCTGACCCTCCCCCGTTCATGCTCTGTCTCTCACTGTCTCAAAAATAAATAAATGTTAAAAAAAAAAAAATACCCAATACATAAAGCAGGAAATAAGAAACATAAGGGAAGTAATCAATAGTAATACAATTGTAAAGGACTTTAACAACCCATTTATATCAATGGATAGACCATCCAAACAGAAAATCAGTAAGGAAACAGTGGCTTTAAATGGCTCATTGGATCAGATGGATCTAACATATATATTCAGAACATTCCATCCTAAAACAGCAGAATACACATTCTCTTCAAGTGCACACAGAACATTCTCCAGAGTATATCACACATTAGGCCACAAAACAAGTCTTGACAAGTTGTAAAAGATCCAGGTTATACAATACATCTTTTCCAACCTGGTTTCTATGAAACCAGAAATCAACCACAAGAAGACCCAGGAAAGAGTACAAATACATGGAAGTTAAAGAATATGCTCCTAAACAATGAATGGGTCAACCAAGAAATCAAAGAGGAAATTAAAAAATACATGGAGACAAGTTAAAATGAAAACACCACAGTTCAAAATCTTTAGGATGCAGTAAAAGCTATTCTAAGAGGGAAGTTTATACCAACGCAGGTCTACCTCAAGAAGCAAGAAAAATCTAAAATAATCAACCTAACCTTACACCTAAAGGAACTAGAAAAGCAAACAAAATCCAGAACTAGTTGAAGGATGGACATAATAAAGATTAGAGCAGAAAGAAACAAAATAAAAACTAAAAAAACAACAGAACAGATCACTGAAACCAGGAGCTAGTACTCTGAAAAGATCAACAAAACTGATCAACCTTTAGCTTGCCTCATCAAAAGAAAAAGAGGACCCAAATAAACAAAACCAGAAACAAAAGAAGAAAAATAATAACTGACACCACAGAAATACAAAAGATTAGGAGAATATTATGAAAAATTACATGCCAACAAATTGGGCAACCTAGAAAAAACAGATATATTCCTAGAAATATGTAACTCCCCAAAACTAAAGCAAGAAGAAATAGAAAATTTGAATACACTGATTATCAGCAATGAAACTGAATCAGTAAACCAAAAACTCCCAAGAAACCAAAGTCCAGAAACCACACAGCTTCATAGGTGGATTCTACAAAACATTTAAATTAGAGTTAATACCCATTCTTCTCAAACTATTCTAAAAAACAGAAGAGGAAGGAAAGCTTCCAAACTCATTGTATGAAGCCAGCGTTACCCTGATATCAAAACCAGATAAAGACTACAAAAAAAGAGAACTACAGGCCAATACTCTGACGAACACAGATGCAAAAATCCTCAACAAAATATCAGCAAACTTAATTCAATATATTAAAAAAATCATTCACCACCAGCAAGTAGGATTCCTAGGATGCAAGGGTGGTTCAATATTCACAAATCAATGAATGTGATACATCACATCGACAAGAGAAAGGATAAAAAGCCATATGATCATTTCAATGGATCCAGAAAAAAGCATTTGACAAAGTACAACATCCAGTCATGATAATAAAAGATATACAATGGAATATTATTACTCAGCCATAAAGAATGAGATTTTGCCATATGTGACAACGTGGACGGATCTAGATCTAGATGTGACTATCTAGATCTAGTCACAGAAGTGAAATTAAGTCAGTCACAGAAAGACAAATACCATATGATTTCACTCAGATGTGAAATTTAAGAAACAAAACAGAGACAAACTAAAAAACAGACTCTTTTTAAAAAATTTTTTTTTAAGTTTATTTATTTTTGAGAGCAACAGAGACAACACGAGTGGGGGAAGGGCAGAGAGAGAAGGGAGAGAGAGTGAGAGTGAGAATGAGAGAGAGAGAGAGAGAATCCCAAGCAGGCTGTGCACTGCCAGCTGGATGTGGGGCTCGAACTCATGAAACCATGAGATCATGACCTGAACCGAAACCAAGAGTCAGATGCCTAACCGACTGAGCCACCCAGGCACCCCTAAAAAACAGACTCTTTAACTAGAGAGAACAAATTGATGGTTGTCAGAGGGGAGGTAGATGGGGAGATTGGGGGAAATAGATGAAGGGGATTAAGAGGACACTTATCATGATGAGCACTGAATAACGTATAGAATCACTGAATCACTATGTTGTACACCTGAAACTAATGTAACAGTATGTTACCTACACAGGAATTAAAAAATAATTAAAAAAAAAAAGTTAATTGTGGCTTTGTAGTTGGTATAGTGCACACTGGTCCACATCTCTAGGCACACAATATTGTAATCAATGAAATTCACTAAAAGTTTCTGCCAATATTAAGTGCCTCGCATCAGTAGAAATAACAAATGTAGCCATGCAAACAAATGCTTAGATTCCTTTGATTCCTACAAAAAAGCAGGTTGGACCACTTGTTGAGACATTAAATCTCAAGATTCAATTCAGAGGGGAAAAAAACAGCCAAAGAAATGCTTACCGTTCCAGTGAATGTGTCTGCCATTCTTGTAAAAGTAAATCTAAAAATTCAAAACAGCGCCTAAAGATTGTAAAGAAAAAAATATGTAATTTGGTTATTTTTATGTTAGTGAAAATAAAAGCTTTTTTTCTTCCCATGCTACTTTTTAGAACTGGCAAATTCCTTCTAATTAATGGGCTTCAAAAAATGGAACATCGAGTTGGAATCAACAGTGACTGAAAACCTAAGCAAGTAAAAGTAATCAAGCATCAATGGCGATCAGAAAGTAAATACACAAGACACAGAAGAAACAGGATACAAAAGTTCCCCTCAAATCAGGAACCGCAGCCTTGTGGCAACATTACCAAAAGGGCCTATCACTGTCATTTGTTTTTATACCACCTCAAATAATGTTAATATAAGATGTACAAGTGCAAAAAAAAAAAAAATCAGCGTACATTATTACAGAACCAGGCGATTGCTCCTTGCATTAATTTCACAGAATGCCTTGTACAAAAGAAAAAAAAGTAAAAAATACCCTGAAAAACAAAGTGCTTTCCAAATTTTCCTAAGAAGATCCTAGGTAGTGCTTAAAATGGATTTTTCCCTAATTTACTCATCTATTTTTCTCTCTTTAATCTTTCAACATCCCTTCTTGTCAAGCCTTTTCACCTTTGTAATCTTTCTTGGTCTGATTTGTGCACGAAAACAACTCTGGTCTCATCTCCTTTGGATTACATCCCTGCTTTGCATCCTACCTCTTTAGAACTTGTCAAAAGCCCAGGGTCTTTATCTCCGTGGGGGTAAATCTTAGTAGTCTTAGGAACTCATTCAAGGAAACGAGTAAGAGGGTAATTTTTCTCTAATGACCAGACTGTCGTTCCCATGATCCTCTCAATTCACAACCTCAATAACCCATATAATTAATTACTCAATAAATCTTTAATAAACCTACCCTCGATGTTAGAGATAACAACGGTAACCAAGACATAAACCAGCAAACAAGACAGACAAGGGACAGTTCCCATGTGCCACGAGCACAAGGGGGCTCTTCTTAGAACCACACAGAGCTATTCAACCCAGTCCTGGGGCTGCCAACAGTGTGCGTGTCTGCACGTGTGTGCATGTTGGTTGTGAAGCAAACTTTCTCCAAGGAAGGACACTTACCCATACCTGCATCCTCTCTCCTCTGTCACTCTCCCCACACTGGCCCCAACCTAGGCCGTGTTTATTCTACCTCTCCTCCGTTCTTCATGTCATTTCCTGGTCTGATTTTTCTTGTCTCTCTTTTTTTCTTTAACATGTGTGTATATGTTTATATTTACCTATCTCTTAGTGAATACAGCCATCTTTGGTGCTAATTTTGGTCTTAAATGCATGTTAGAACAATCTATTTAATCAAAAATATGACCTTTAAGTTAGGTTTTATTTTCCACTTTTCAGACTAACATATAAAGAAGTATTATCAATGTTGGCATTGTTTAACACATCATTATTTAAACACATCAGGTTAGAACTCGTCTCTTTTCTTTACCAACTCCTACCCATCATTCAAAATGCAACTCAATTTTCAACCTGCCTATCAAGTGTCACTGGAATATACCAGTTGGTTTTAATCACTGCTCTCTGAATTCCTAACTCCACAATACAGGTGTTGTAACTCACTCTTACACTGCTCTGCGTTACTGTTTTTAATCTCCCTATCTAAATGATATAAATTTCTCAAAGGCAGGGAGACTGTACGATCCATTTCTTACAAATTCTACGAAGCTGAGCTAGGTACAGGCTGAGGACCTAACAGAAGGACCTAACCTTTCTGAAGGCAAAGGGACGAGATGGTCCCTATTACTTCTTTCAGCATTAAGACCCATGGTTCTGACTGATACACACTCTGACTAAATGTAAGAACAGTAATCTGAGTGTGTGACTCAGAAAGTGGTAAAGGGGGAGACACTTCTACTGTCACAGTGAATGTAGGTTACTATCCGTTTAGCAGCAAAGGCCAGAATTGCTCAATTCTGTGGACTGAACAGTGTTCTCCCCAAATTCCTATGTTCCAATGCCCACATGATAATATCTGGAGATGGGGTCTTCAGATCATTAGGTTCATGCGAGTTCATGAGATGGGGGCTCTAATGATTGGGCTGGTGCCCTTCCAAGAAGAAACCCCAGAGAGCATGAGATCTCTCTCCGCCACGTGAAGACACAGCAAGAAGTCAGCCAGCTGCAAGTGACCCTCATTAGAACTCAACCATCCTGGCACCCTGATCTCAGACTTCCAGCCTCCAGAACTGTGAGAAAATACACTTCTGCTGTTTAAGCACGCAGTATATGGTATTTTGTTGCCAGTTAATACACTACACATCCTACAACAAACATCCGTTTCACCTCATCAGAGGACCTTGGCCTTGCACATTCTGAATTTCTCCTGGAAACCTAAAACAATAGTGACAATAACATCAGCAGCAGCAACAAATTCTAACAGCTGGCATCGTTTATTAAGCTTATACTAGGTGTCACACTCCTTTACCCAATGACTGAACCCCCAGAACAGCTCTGCCCCAGGGGTACTCTTGTTCCCAGCGGGAAAGAGGATTAGTCAGTGGGAAGAGGTAATGCTTCAGCTGCAGTCTGCCAGGTTCTGAAGTTCACTACCATCCCTCTCTCCTGCTGACTTCACCCTCTCATCTCTAGAAGGAGACGCTGGACTGCAGGTCAAGGGTAGATTGCATTCCTCAGTGATATACAAGTGAGCCATGCGGTTAGAGATGAAGCTTTTTCAGTGGAAGGTGCCAATTTCTTCCTTCCTGGCTTTACAAAGGTGGATGATTCCCCTCCTCCCTCATGACTTTCACAGAGCTGTTAATAAGATGGCTATGGGGCCACCTCACGCTTAGCAGGCTCCCCTACCGTGGAAACCCAGCAGGACCAACGTGACATGCCAGAAAAGAAGGGAAATGGCGGGCAGCAAAAGTAAGCTGGGTTCCAAGCTTAGACTGAAGGGCTCTTTCACTGGGCTAGGATCGGACAAAGAACTCCAGGAATGTGGTCAAGAGACTGCTGCCCAGGCCAACCATGAATTTACCCTAGGAAGCTCCTGATACGGTCCACTGAATATCCACTGGTGTCCATGAATCCCTTCAAAATCTACATAAAATATTCTGTGTGTTTACATTTTCTGGGGAAGAGGGGTCACGATTTTATTAGATTCTCAACAGTCAAGAACCACAGATCCCAGATAGAAGAGGCCTACTCCTGGGATGTGATCTATGGCAGCTCATGTGGACACACTAGGCAGGGACTTGGGAACAAAGGGCTAGCTAGCTACGGTATCTCCTGGATAGTTGGTCTCTCTCTTAGTTGGGATTCAGAATCTCAGAAATCACTGTCAGAAGACAGAGACAACATATACCTCCTCCTACCCATGTCAATAGTAAAGAACTACTGTTAATTTTTATAATGTTTTTTTTTAACTTGTGTGCAATTACGACTTTCATTCAGAGAAGGGGTATACCAACAATTTAAGTAGAGGGACTATCTTAGAAAAAATGTACAGGCCATCTTCTACCCCACTCTCTCCAGAGCCCCCTTTCATAAACTCACACACAGACACACGTGTTCTCTCTCTCTCTCCCTCTCCTCTCTTTCTCACATACACACAAAATAATGGAGGTTGTCCAAATTTATTTTCCAGACTATGTAGATCACGATCCCTCAACCCAAAGCCATTTACTGCAGTGATCTTAAAATAATTTTAACATCTCAAACATGAATTTGTTTCCATGGACGGAAGTTTGGAACTTATTTTGGTTTTTAAACAATTCAAAAATAATGAGGAAGCTGTTTAAAAATTTACCTTCTAACTGCGACAGACTTAGAGGTACAGTTGCTTGTTATGACAGGTATTAGCCTAGGGATGTGTGTGTGCTGCAGAGAAGAACAGAAACGGAGGTGAACACCTGAAAATACAAAACTAAAAACTAAGACAACCACTTCATTACTAAACTACCTAAAGCACATAAATATTCAGATTAGAATGTCGCTGAGCTTAAAAAGGAAAAAAAATTTCACTGGATATTGCCAAAGGCCATGACAAAATTCACAGAGCCTGAACAGACCAGCCGATGATATGTAAATAAATCTAACAGCAAAACAAATGACTGGTGGGAAGTCTAAATAATCCGGCAGTGGAGATCTAAGTGAGTTCAATAGCGGTCAGCAGAGCAACGTGTTTTGATGCTGTTTCAATGGGAATGTTCAATGATGGCTTTGGGTTTAATATTTCAAGTAGGCAGTGCAAACAGAACTAAAAATAATACAAATAAGTAACCCACAATGATTTAATCAGGAATATTCTGGATAGGTTTTAGCATCACCACGTCCCAGTTTCAAGGGTTGCCTCTGGGGAAAAGGGACTTGAAGGTGGGGAGAAGGTGATGTGGAGAATGTTCATTTTAAGCCTTTGTGAGCTATTAGGTTTTACTGGGAACGTGTATATAAATTACTTGGATAATTATTTAAATTTAAATAATGAGTGTTTAGAAACCTGAAAAGAGTATTTTGTTCCTGGGCTTAAACACAAGTAATTAAATAAAAACTTTAGGTGAGTAACAAAGCCACAAACACAAATACCTAAAGTGGAATGACTGGGAGTAAAGAACCAAGTGTAACCCCAGAAGCAGATACAGATATTCAAATATTTAAAGCCAACAATGAGTAAATAATCAACACATGAGTAGGTACACCATATTCATAATTCACATTATGGAGTATTAAAAAAAAAGACTCCTATAGATAACTAAGGAGGGGGGAGGCTGATTTGTATATGCAACATGGTTCCAACTGTCCATAATGTTGCTAATGAAAAATGCCTCTAGTACTGCTTATCAACCATCATTTACTACCACTTGCTTATTCTATGTATGGCCCCAAAATATACTTACCCGAATGATTAACCTAACAGCTACAACACCGGAAGTGGCCATAATTTTGGCACTGTTTGGAATTAAATTAAAGATAGTTGGCATAATGGCTTCAGCTCCATGGTCAAATTTATTTCCCAGAACTGATGACAGATGCCTACAACAAGAAATGAACACTGCACTGTAGCTGTATCCCTTGCAAACAGTGAAACAATATAAACCTCTTAACATTCTGTAAGGCTTTCCTTTAAAGTTATCTAGAGATAAAAGGCAAATGTCTACGTAAGACACTTTAAAAACACTTCCCATGTGCATGCTGTGGACTTGGCCAAAAGACATTAGCCCATGAGCTCGTTCCTTTCATTTCTTTTAAATAAATCATTTCCAACTAATTAGTCTTAAAACAGCAAAAGACAGGGGCGCCTGGGTGGCTCAGTCGGTTGAGGTCCGGACTTTGACTCAGGTCACGATCACTTGCAGTTCGGGAGTTCGAGCCCCGCATCGGGCTCACTGCCGTCAGTGTGGAGCCTGCTTTGGATCCTCTGTCCACCTCCCCCCTCGATGCCCTCCCCCCACGTGAGCACGCTCTCTCTCTCAAAAATAAATATAACGTTAAAAATTTCTTTAAAAAACAGCAAAAGACAAATTGGTCATATATCAATTAAGTGTAGAACTGAGAGAGCTCCCTCACCCTCTTCTCCTTTTGCCCTGTTAACCTTTCACATGTATTATACACGCTTCCATATCTGATCCCAGCCAAAACTGTAGACAGCTGCAGTACCTCCTTGCTGTTGCTGCTTCTTTGACATTCTGACATACTTTTCAACACAGAAGTTCCAGCTGCAAACACTGATACAGTTTTAGCTAGGGTAAAACTTTACTGTCCTATCTGCCTTTGACTTGTAACTTTATAGATACAGTATTCTTCTAGAAACAAACAAAAACTTTGATAATGCTATACCCTGTCAGCAAAATCAATGAAAAAGCCAAGAGACAGAAGTTTATATTATTTCTTTTTTCGTATTATTAATAATAATTGTGCTCGCTTCGGCAGCACATATACTAAAATTATTAATAATAATTGCTTCGAGTTTAAAATAGAGGCTTCAGAGCTAAGTCACTGAATAACATTTAAAATCTGTCAAACTTGGGGCACCTGGGTGGCGCAGTCGGTTAAGCGTCCGACTTCAGCCAGGTCACGATCTCGCGGTCCGTGAGTTCGAGCCCCGCGTCAGGCTCTGGGCTGATGGCTCAGAGCCTGGAGCCTGTTTCCGATTCTGTGTCTCCCTCTCTCTCTGCCCCTCCCCCGTTCATGCTCTGTCTCTCTCTGTCCCCAAAAAAATAAATAAAACGTTGAAAAAAAAAATTAAAAAAAAAAATAAATAAAATAAAATCTGTCAAACTTTATGTAATTGGGCAGGAAATATTGTAATACTATAAAAGCACCAACAGAAGAATAAATGGAATAGGTCCTGGAGACTAGTCAGAAGGTACATTAAAGGGACCTGCTGGGCACATTCAACGAACCATCTCTGAAGCGCTGCAATGAGACTATTTTAGGATGTGTGAGAATCTAAAGCGTGGCAGTCCTTACCCCAATGTGATGCAAGCTTCCCGCACTACCTGAGACCGCAGGTCCTTAGCAGATAGTTTAAAGGCTCCGTCCAAAAGACGCAGATGTTGAAAGAAGTTATCGTACTCGGCGGCACCAGCCAAAAGTAAAGATCTGATCTTTTTCAGCTGGTGGAACAGAAAAAATTAAGAGGTACACACAACAATCCTTAAAACAGGATATATAAAACAACTGAAGCCAACAACTGTGAGAAATCAACATCAAAGTTAACTGATCTCAAAAGTTTTCCCAAAAGAATTCAGCCAATTCAGTACCTGCTACCATACTGAACAAATCCACATATCACAAGTAAGAAGTTTTAAATGTAGTATATCTCACAATTCTACAAAATAGATATTTTACTTGTAAACATTTTTGCTCCTCCCCTAAAGCTTACCTTCCCCAATACCCAACTCCAACTGCTATCCGTTAAATGACTCGAAGGAAGAAGCGATCCTACAGTCTTTTATATAGTATCCTCCAGTGTATCATTACTAAAAGGTTAGTCTGAGTTTGAATAGAACGTAGCAGTCATTTCACAGCCTTGCTTCCTGCCCAGCCAACCGCTGTAAAACAGCTTTCCTCAGATAAGATATGTACTGGGAGCACTGTAATGCTCCCCTCACATTTCATTAATCCACTTTCTTAAACAGAGGGAGAGAACTTTCCAACAAGTGATAGGAAGAAAGAAAGGAAGAGACGGACACACCCTGAAAATGCCACTAAGAAAAGCCAACTTACTGGCCAACAGTCACAATTAAATCTGGACTAAGGCAAGAGTGGAGGCTGTCTCCAGACGTTCCACATTACATCTTTTTTAAAAGTACAGGATATACTTAAAGGCACAGGTTGGCCTGTTTTAGAAACAGGAAGAGAAATGAGGTACTCTACTAAAAGGGTAAGTGTAAATATGGTGATTTATATTTAAAACATTTACTACTTAAAATTCATCAGAGCTATACCCCAATTGCATAATTCAGTATTTAGAACATTGAAATAAATCTAATGAAAATGTAATCACATGAAGTCAACGGCTTACAGCATTTACTCTTTGCTCCCAATCATGCTTGTCATCAGATAATATTTCCCTAATCTTGTTTATGGACTCCTCCAGGTCTCGGCTGGAATAAATCTGTAAGCAAAATTAATTTACAACCAATGTAAGAAAATTTACAGAATCAACAAAGGTTAGTTTTTAATTACAGAAAGTCAAGAATACTTAGTAATTTCATTTTTCAGAAGGACTTATGAGATAACCTCCAGATACATCTGTCTTCGAATGAGCTTCCTTCCCATTGGGAATATATACCCACTAGATTTGATGCTCAAGTACAGATAACCATGCTTTGAGCACAACTTCACTGTAAACTTAACAGATGGTCTCATGTACAGAAGAGAAAGGAGCCGACTGGGGAATTGTCAGTGATGCACAAGGCCTTTATTACTCTTAGTATTATTTAGAACACCACATTTTACACGTAACTTCAACACTCTCTTCAAATCTTCTTTCTCATTTACGCTTACATCTTACTAATAAGGTAGGTAGGGAAATAATCAACCAACAGTGATGCAAGCTTGGAAGGTCAAGGACTTAAGGTAAGGCCTGAACCCAAGCTGAGCCTATGGTGCCGGTTATCTGACTTATGGTACTTATGGCAACCAGGCAACAGGTAACAAGTGACTCACGCAGGCAGAGCACCACATTCGATGCAGGCTGAGGACAAGTGTTATTAGCCCCCAGTCAACAACAAAGGACACTGAGGCACAAAGCACTTAAAATGTGCATACTCCAAACGTATAAGTAATCCCTGCTTCGTCTGTTAGGCACTTAAATGAAGCATCAAGGTGGCATAAACTTGAGCTTTTATTAATCTGTTCTTTATAGCTTTTCAGACATCGCAGTCCTTGAAATTTACAAATTTTTCTAGGCATGCTTCTTTGTTCTCACACCTAGTCATTGATTTTCTTTTTCATTTACGTGACCTAAGCCACAAACGTACTACTAGATCAAGCAAGCAACTTCTCTCCAGTCCCTACTGAAAGATCACTTCACTTCTGCTGTGCATTTTAGCTATACAAGGCACCGATGTCCTCTCATCTGCAAGTGCAGACCTGCAGTAGGTCTTAAGAGGTAAAAATACCTCACCTAGAAGGGGGCCTCACATATCATGTATCTGAAAACTGAAATTTGGCGAGTAAGCCTACCTGTTTTTAATCAAACTTGAATATTCTCACTCACCTGTACTACAGGTACGTCATCAAATGCTTTAATAAAGTCCTCTTCATCAACAGCACCAGCTCCTTCTTTTGCAGCTATAAATAAGATCAATTTTCAAAACGTGAATGGTGTACACAGGGGTAGTCTGAACACACACAATCCCCATTACATTATGGAAGATTTGTGGCTTTTTTACAAGCCTTAATAAAAATTTAGAGTGTTGTGGAACTGACAAACATTACTAACTCTGAATATAGAGATGAAATGTCATGATTCTACAATACTACATACGTTAGTGTAAAGTCACTTAAAGAGACTACGTGTTAAAGGAGGACAGTTAGCCTTTAAGCGACATACATCAATTATACTGTAGTCGTATATTAATCTAATAAACAGGTATATAATAGAAAATTTAATCCTTCAGGGAATAAATTAGGTTATGTTATTTTTAGGCATCTAGTGTAACAAATTTGTGAAATATTCAAATAAGTGCTCAAGAATTTAACATTTCAACTTTGTATTACTCTCAAAACATTTCCATTTCCTTGAACACATGGTAACTGGGTCAATTTTTTACTTATGCACTAGTAAGAATTTTCCCTCCTAAAGGTGTTGTAAGATGCTCTGTATACTTCAAGGTTAATTGCTATCATTTGAGAAAGAGTTTTTTTCTTTCGCTAACATGAACTCTACTTCACACATGAAGATCATGTGACATTTTGTCAAATCTTTTTTTGTTTTTTCAGAATAAAGGTTTTAAAATTGGGGTTTAAGATCACCCTTGAAACCCTCATTGTTAATGATTCACACTGATAGAAACCAATTTGACAATAAATTCCATATTTAAAAAAATGAATTACACTGATTAGTCTGAGTGCTTTTCTAGTGTTTCTTTGCAGACAAGTTATTTGGTGTTTAGGGTCCTCAAAAGTAGACAAGGCTTTAAAGACGATTCTGGGAGCAATAAATGCGTGTCCTCACTTTCAATGAAGATTCCTCACACCGAGTTCATAGCTGTGGTCACATGACAGTAACATCACACCGTCACTTGGTGCTCAGTACCTGTTTTGGTACAAAGACTGAATCCCCCTGAGCAGACAGGTCCGGAGTGCTGCCCTGGATAAGTGCTGCATCACGTACCCACATACGTAAAGGGACTCAGAGACCAACCATGGTCCATGAGCCCCAGAATCAGACAAGGAGGAGTCAACAAAGAAATTCATGACTGCGGTGTTTAAACAAAATAGAAAAAAGGGTAAGAGCAGGGCCAAGATCTCTACATAATCTAGAGCCGGGACTTTTGGAAGGGGTATGGGTGTGGGATGGGAAGGAAATCAAAGGGGTCTAATGATGTAGAAATTTCTAAGCCTCATTTGTGGAACTGATGCCTCCCAAGAATAGATTTTTCCAATGAAAGATGAGAAAGGTGGTTCAGTCATAGAGGAATGAAATACTGGGTACATGCTGTAACACAGATGAACTGTAAAAACATTACCCTACGTGAAAGGAGCCAGACACAAAAGATCACATTTATATGACTCCATTTCTCTGAAATACCTAGAATAGGCAAGTGCCTAGAGGCAAAATGCAGACTGCTGATCACCAGGGGCTGGGGGAAGGAAGAAATGGGGAGTGACCGTTTAAAGGGTCCGGGGCTTCCTTTCAAGAGTGGAAAAGCTTTTCTGGAACTAGACACAGGTGGTGGCTGCACAATACTGTGAATACATGAAATGCCACTGGATGGTTACCTTTAAAATGGTTAATTTGGGGCACCTGAGTGGCTCAGTCAGTTGAGCATCTGACGTTTGATTTCGGCTCAGGTTGTGATCTCGCAGTTTCATGAGTTCGAGCCCCGTATCAGGCTCCATGCCAACCCTGCAGAGTCTACTTGGTATTCTCCCTCTTCCTCTCTCTGCCCCTCCCCTGTCGGCATGCCATTCTCTCTCTCAAAAATAAATAAGTAAACTTTTAAAAACTTATTAAAAATAAATAAATGGTTAATTTGATGTTTTGTGAATTTAAACTCAATTACAAAAAAAAATTTTAACGCACCAAAAACAAACAAAAACATAAACAAAAACACAGATAGAAAGGACTAAGAACACCAACAAAGGCACAGCTTTTTCCTCCTGCCATCTGTGGTGTGAACACCCGTGTCAGCCATCAGCACAGCTACTTAACATGGAGAGAGAAGCTGGCAGCAGAGGCACCAAGCTGACAGAGGCACGACCCCAACACTCTAGGGCCAGTTCAGCAGGCCAGAAAGAACACCAGGAGGCGGCATTCTAAGTCAATCCTTCCCGCTGTTTTAACTTAGCTCATCCAGCCAAGCTCAAAAGCCCGACGCTAAAAACCAGTTCTAAAGGCAGAGGCCACACAATGTAAAGCGAAAAGAGATCTGTGTGTCAATTTAACATGTGACAGCAAAATGCAAGTTGTGTATAACAAGGACTCAAATCGTCTGCATTGGGGAGTGGCAGAGAAGAGACTGAGACTAAGGTATCTTTGTAAATCAATGTTCAAAGCTTTAGGGAGCTGAGCCCTACCATTTACTTAGGTCAACATCCATTCCGGTTTCACAAGGAATAATGCTACTCGTAGGAACAAAACACAGAAGGCACACCATCTGACTTCTGGGAAGTCTCAGTGTTGGTAGACAGAAACTGACAAAAAAGTCCCCATGGTAATTGCAGGCCATCGCTGGAGCCTCGTGGACGAATAAAGCCATCAGGGTGCACTCCTGCCCTGGCTCCTAGCTATGCTGGCCTCTGAGCTAGCCATATTCTCCTACCGGCTCCCCCCTTACCAACCCGTGGCAACACAGCGGCTCAAACTTCTACCCTATCAGCATGGACAGCACAGTGCTAACATAAATCACAGTGAGTAGAAACATACTGCAAACAGGACCACTTCATCCCTGAAGGACAGACACGGAAGGCAGTACATCTGGTTTTAAGAGCTGGCAGAGCTGACTCTACAGCACCCCACTCGGTGGTCTTACCTGAAGACTTGGATCCAAGAGAGGAGGAACCAAGCCGGCGGGTGGTCCCCATTCCAACGTTTCTCCTTGAGCTGGGTGGAGCCTTGGATGATGTAGAACTAGCAGAGGAAGGTCTATTACCATCCACAGAATCTTCATCATCAAAATTTTTATCTGAAGAGTAAGCAGAGAAATCATTGTTTTAAAAAAAAAAAAAAAAAAAAAAAAAAAAAAAAAAAAAAAAAAAAAAAAAGGTACTTTTCCACCCGAATGTAAAACAACAAACTAGCCTTAGAGATGAACGGTGTGCCTACTCTTGGGATGTGAGGTGCCAGTCCGGGGTCTAGAAAGGCCTTAGGGTAAGTCCAGAATGCAGATATAAACATCATGTTTGCTTTCACATATCTAGAATGCTCTCCTGGCTCCAATTTTGGAAAACAGAGAAAACATAAAGAAGAAAACAACCTCTCATAAAACCACCACCTCATACAATTACTTCAACATTTTGGCATATTTCTGACCTTTCTTGCATGCATTTTTTTTTAATAACAGCTGATGCGAGACTATACATCATTTGGCATTTTGCTTATTTCAAATATGCGCATTTTCCCAGGTGATAAAATATTCTTTGTAAATGCTGTCTTAGTGGTTGCATGGTACTCTGTGATGAGAAAATATCACAACTGAAATGGTCTTGTTAGGCATTCAGGGTAGTTCCAATACGTCACCATTAGAAATAACATTGCAACAAACACCTTCCTACTGGCATTTCTGTTTAAATTTATCACAATTTTAAGAAAAAAACCAAAACCTAGAAGCAATACCTACTGGGTCAAAGAGTATAAAAATTTTTAGTATACACTGCCAAATTTATTTTCAGAGAGGTCATGTATTTTTTTTTCCCCTGGAAGTTCAAAGAAGTGCCCAACTGGTCACACCTCTGCCAACACAGTATGACCATTTTTAAATGTCAACCAGTTTGACAAGAGGAAATAAATGCTTCCTCGTCAATGTTTCATTTCTCTTTTGTTGGAGTTGAGCACTGTTTCTTCATTAATTCCAAAATTTTCTAAGCATTAGTAGATCCAAGGAATATTCCTTAGGTTGCATTTAAAATTAAAAAGAAAAAAGAAAAGGGAGCCTGAGTGGCTCAGTCGGTTAAGCATCCGACTCTGGATTTCGGCTCAGGCCATGAGCTCCTGGTTTCCTGAGTTCAAGCTCTGCACACTGACCACACTGAACCTGCTTGGGATTCTCCCTCTCTCTCTGCCCCTCTCCTGCTTGCGTACACTCTCTCTCTCAAAATAAACAGACCTTTAAAAAAAGAAAAAAGAAAGAAAAAGAAAAAAACATCTTTGGGCTTTTAAAATAATCAACATATTTAGGAACAACATTTGGATGACACAATTAACGCTATCATGGTGCACTTATACAGAGTACCATGGGCTTATACAGCAACTCTGAGTCATTCAGGAGGCTTAAACAGAGAACCAAGAGTAATTTAAAATAAAGGAAACAAACATCTGTAGCTGGCAATGTTCACGATTTCTGAATAAGGGAGCTAGATCTTTTCCAATACATCTGAAGTAAATAAATGTCGAACAGAAAACACAAATACAAGCCTGTTTTCTGGACCCGTTGGCTGCTTGGTTCAACTATCAACAGTCAAGTCCGGTGTCTAATCATGACCCTACTGTTTCTCACAACTCACCAACAATCCACTTCAAACTACACGGCTTCTTTTATTCGACACTGTTGGGAGCTGATCCATCCTTCTAAATGCATATCCTTGTGCAAATTACCTGCCTTCAACATTCCTTTAAATTTCCTAGATCACCTTATCAAGCAATCCTCTTTCACAGATGGTTCCTTTAATACACACATCACTTTCCCACTGATTCAGATGTTCACTGGTCTATTAGTATCGACTTACCTATGTGGATTCAAAAGGTGATTCTTGGACTGTAAGCATATTAACAAGGTCCCTTCCAAGAGTAAAACTGAGTCTGATGTAAAGAACGAAAACAACCCAAAGGGAAGGTCAACCACTGAGCGCTGCCAGTATTAGCAGTGACAAGACCTGCTCTCAGCCCATCCGCCCTCAGGGGAGCTCTAATCACTACAGGAACAGTTCCAGTCTGTGGGAAAGGTGCATAATGAACAGGAGAAGTGAAGACACCATCATGCTTCACTCAGAAATTCATGTAAAGTCTGTGTAATTTTTCTAACATGGGCAGGCACTCCACTGAGAACTATATTCACTTAGTGGAAATTATTTTCAGAGGGCCCATGTCACTGGATTTCCTGGGATTTCTCTATTGAAGCAATGATGGATTTTCAAGGACCAAACTCAACCTCTTTCAGCAAACAGCCAGAAACCAGACAGGGTACATAAAACAACTATTTCAGATGGGACAAGGGACAGTGCAGAACTGTGAGCCCTGAGAGGGAAACAAACCAGGTGAGCTACATAGTTACCCAACTTCCCGCCTGGAGATAATTCCCAGACCACCAAGTACAAGGAACGAGACCCTAAATTGAACCTAGAAGCCTCGGCAAGTTGAGAAAACGGAAATCAGAGCTCAGGGACGCTGAGGGGCCGGGCCGTAAGGTACAGGCAGAGTGCTAGGAAACAGGAAGCTACACAAAATGAGAGCTCTAGAAATGTACCAAGTTCTAGGCCATCATGTGGGAGTACAATTCCGCACACAAGGGAAGGCGAAAAATGACCAGGAAGCTATAAACTGAACAATTCCCAATGTCTGCACAAAGTAGGTCAGTGTTCCAGCACCAGAGTAGAATGTTCTTGGAGACTCACCCAAGGCACTCAGTGAGACCCTGCAAGGGCAGGCCTTAATAGTAGGGCTGAACTATTTCTGGAGGGAAGGTTACATTAAGCCTACCCTATCAAAGTTTAAAAACAGGCCTCAAGGGGGTTAGACGTGCAAGTAACTTAAAACCGCTCTGCCAAGGGCGCCTGCGTGGCTCAGCCAGGTGAGGTCTGACTCTTGATTTCACCTCAGGTCATGAGATCCCAGGTTTGTGGGATCCAGCCCCATGTAGGGCTCCATGCTGAGTGTGGAGCCTACTTGGGATTTTCTCTCTCTCTATCTCTCTCAATCTCTCTTTCTCGCTCTCTCCCCCTCTGCCCCTTCCCACCACATGCCCACGTGCATGTGAATGCTCTCTTTCTCTTAAAACAAACGAACAAACAAACGAAAAAAAACTGCTCTGCCAAAGCAAAGCAGAACATTCTTTAAAGGAACATAACAAATGCAGACACTTGACAATATAGCATTCACAATACACAACACCTAATCAAAATTTCATCAAGAGAAGGAGAAACAGAAAAATGTGGCACACAATCAGGAGGGAAAAAAACATCAGAAAATAGTAACCAATTAAGAAATGACAAAGATGATGGAACCAGCAGGTAAGAATATTAAAACTGCTACAACTGTGTCCAAATATTAAGAGAACAAATAGATATAATGAGAAAGAATGTTTTTTAAAAAAAATTTTTTAACATTTTTATTCATTTTTGAGAGACAGACACAGAGCACTAGCCGGGAAAGGGCAAAGAGAGAGGGAGACACAGAATCCAAAGCAGGCTCCAGGCTCTGAGCTGTCAGCACAGAGCCTGATGCAGGGCCCGAACCCACAAACTGCGGAATCGTGACCTGAGTTGAAGTTGGGCGCTTAACTAAGCCACCCAGGCGCTCCTAAGGTTTTTTATTAAAAGGACCAAATGGAACTTCTGGAAATTAAGAAAACACAGTATCTGAAATGAAAATTTCACTGAATGGGATAAATGCAGATTAGACACAATCAGCTAGAAAAAAAAAAAAACAAACAAACAGGGAATTTAAACACAGCAATAAAATTTAACCAAAATTAAGAAAAGAAGAAAGCCTGAGAAAAGTAAATAAGAATAGAAACTCAGACCTGTGGGATAGTAACAAGCATCAAACACACATGAAATTGTACTTCCCGCAGGAGCCAGAGAGAAAAATAAGACACAATACTTACACAGGAACAAAATGACAGTGGGCTTCATCAGAAACTGTGTGTGCCAAAAGACAAAGGAACAGCATCTTGAAAATGGTGATAAGAAAGTATTAACCTAGAATTCTCTATCCACCAAAAATTTATCTTCTAAAAATAAAGGCTAGGGGCATCCTGGTGGCTCAGTCGTTCGGTTCAGGTCACGATCTCACAGTTTGTGAGTTCGAGCCCCGCGTCGGGCTGTGTACTGACAGCTCAGAGCCTGGAGCCTGCTTCCGATTCTGTGTCTCCTTCTCTCTCTGCCCCTCCCCTGCTCACGCTCTGTCTCTCCTTCTCTCAAAAATAAATAAACATTTTAAAAAATTAAAAATAAATAAATTTTTAAAAAGGCTAAATAAAAATGTACTCAGACAACACCAAAAAAAAAAAAAAAAAAAAAAAAAAAAAAAAAAAAGAATTCATCACCACGAGACCTGCACTCCTAAGAAATGTTCAAGGGAGATCTTCAGGCAAAGGGAAAATGATACCAACCGAACACGTGGATCTACAACAGAATGAAGCGCACGGGAGATTGTAATCAGGTGGATAAGAAGACTTTCTCCTCATATTTTAATATCTGTGAGGGACAACTGGCTGCGTAAAGCAAACATAGAAGCCCTCAACATTTAGTTTCTATTCTTTTGACATCCTCCTGTCCTGGGCAGGTAACCTGGCAGCCAGAGGAAGGACGCCTGTTGGCAAAGGAACGCGGGGCTTGGGCTACGGGCTGCAGTAGGGGGATGCCACGCGGACACTGGCAAAGCGCGAAGAGAACGGAAGCAGTGCAGATTCGGCCCTCAGCGGGCCTGTATTTCTAACAGTGAATTATAACTTGGCCAAATGTACTCAAGAGGTCACATAATGATGCGATGCCCCGAGGAGGAGTGTGTTTCTTCACCAATGTCTACATGGAAACGCCTCCCTAGGAAGGGAGGTGGGGGAAAGGGTCACCAAGCAGCCAGTGTTGAGTTTTTTTTAAATGAGCTTTAAGAGTCCCAATCAGTCTTTTTATTTACTCCCTTTGGAAATAAAATCTAGCACACTTTCTTATCGTTGTTCCCCTCCCCCCACCCCCAACCAGATTAGAAGCAACTAAATATAGGAACAGTGAGAAGGGGGCATGGGTGTTA